TTTCGTTCTGTTCTATATAGGGTCGCTGTGAGTCAGAGCTGACTCGATAGCACCTAACACAACAATAACAGGATTCTATGTAAACAGTAGCTACTGAATACATTTGAATGAACTACAGAGAATGAAACCAAAACCAAACAAAACCCGCTGCCGTTGAGTTGATTCTGACTCATAGCGACCCTATAGGACAGAGTAGAACTGCCCTATAGGGTTTCCAAGGAGCACCTGGTGGATTCAAACTGCTGATCTTTCGGTTAGCAGCCATAGCCCTTAACCACTATGGCACTACAGTTTCCATCTACAGAGAATGAAAGTAATAAGTAAAAGGCCAGTCTTTCTAGTCCTCTGGATGATTTTTAGTTGTCAAAGGATGACACAAAATTCTTAAAGCAGAATTAATTTTAATTCCCTTTGATTTGGAAAATGTATATCTACCACTCATATTATTAAATAGTAGTGTATGGAAAAAGAGACACTAAAGGCCAAAGACCAGTGTTACTGACAGACTAGTCAAGATTTCTTTGGTTACTAGATCACAAGAGATTTACCTGTCAAATTACCGCAAACTAAACAAAACAGATCCCAACCTCAAATCGTTTCTCCTCCAGGTATTCCCATCTCCATGAATGGCAGTCAATGTATTTCAAAGTTACGCTAGGCTTGTGTTTCAAGAAATGCAAGATGAAGAAAGGTATATATACTCAAGCTAACTCGTGGCTTCACACATCTATAGTTGTTTGTTTTAAAGATTTTAAGATCTGAATCATAATTAAGTCCTGGGCAAGGGGTGGATAAAGTTTGTTCATTGTGGCAAAGAAGCCAACTCAATGTAATAGAGTTCAATTGTGTTTCATATCCAATTCCTTGTTAGAGTAAATAATTTGATTATTTTTTAAAATTTACCAGGAAAAGACACTCACGCACCAAGTTCAAGTTAATCTATGCTGTCAAGAGCACTCAGAACACTTAAGCTAGGCTATATTGTGAATCTTTACTTTAGCAGAGAATTTTTAAAAATATTACGCAATACTATTCCCAGAGGTGAAACCAAAGAGATGACTCATGTTCATTTGTAGTAACCATTTCCTGCAAAATTAATTTCATAATGCATTTCTGACACAAAACAAAGGTCATTTTCATCATTTACCACAAATGTTTTGTTGATCTTGATTTAGAGTAGCCAAAAAATCTTTAACTGATTCACCAAAGTTCCAGTGTTGTTATGAATATTAATATTTTAAATCACACTGATATTTGGAGATGATTTCAATATAAAATATATCTACCACTGTGGACAGTATATATGATTATTCAGAATGAT